CTAATATCTTAAAATTCCTAAATGATAGCTATACAAAGAGTTCATACTGTAATTTATGAGAAAAATCTTTATTTGGAGTCTTGAAGACTTTGTCAGAATACAGATTCGATGACTCAAATAAGATAGATGCTTACGAAAAGTTCTAGAGTAAAAGATACACAGTATCAAAAACAACTATGTAACTCTAATTCTGTTTGATACCATTTTCATAGAGAAGCATATTTAATTTATATGCGTGCATAAATCCAATCCAAGTCATCAATCCGCAAATTTTCTATAGTGCATTCACTTGTGGGGCAGAATAATTCCAAAGAGAATTGAATCGTTGACCTATGAGCATTCATAACAAATGAATATTGGACATGACAGCCATAAGGCATTGCACTGGCCTGATACATTTGCTGAAGCAATCTCTTAATGATTCTCTTTGTTTATTTACTTACTTGTGGTTCGTAATTTCTTTCACGTGATCAGTTCCTAACAGTTAACTTGTTTAAAGCTTTCGACCCCGACTAAATAAAAAAAATGCATTAGTTCACATACACATGACACCCAGACCCGGAACAACAATCTGTCGATCATACAAAGACTTGTTCCGTGCGGGAATCGAACCCGGCAGCCAACCGTGCAATCAAAGTAGGTAGATGTCCCTTTACTTTTTTTTGGAGAATCATTCAATAACTTGTCCCACTTTGGGTGAGGTGGATTATAGCAACAGACTCTTGCTACCTGAAAACCACCCCGTTCCCACTCTTGCTGAGTCAAAGCCCTGGTACTCCTAAGGACGTCTGCAGTTCCGAAGATGCTTCTTTACCTGAAGTTTCAGTTTAATTTTATGATAAGTAGAATTTTCCTAGGCACATAATTAGTTATGCGGGTGTTATAACAATTGACTAGGAACTGTTTATGGTACAGAGACTGGGTGGCACTGCCCTTTGACGAACCAGAACCTTGAATTAATAATATATTTAACTAGGTACATCCGCGCGGTTTCACACGCTCTGCTCAGCTCTTATTGGTCGTAGCGTGACGTTTTATAGCCTTTAGCCTTCCTTGATAAATGGCGCTATCCCACACAAAAAGTATTATTCAAATCAGACTTGTAGTTCCGAAAATTAGCGCGTTCAAACAAACAAACAAAAAAACAAACTCTTCAGCTTTATAATATTAGTATAGATAATAACTATCGTGAGACATACTAAATTAACTAAAAATCGCGGGTTACAGAAGTGAAAATATTGAGAAAAACTACTAGTTTTGAGCTACAAAGGGGGCCCCTTTACTCATGAACAGCGTGCGCGGTAGCGGCATCCTACCAAATAGAGTAGGCCTTCTCAGTATTTTCACATGAGTAACCCGAGATTTTAGTCAATTTACTATCTTTAACCTATCTACCGAGCGTGGAGACGTTTAAACGAAAACTTTGTGTGCTAACTCTCATCTCTGTGAGCAAAAAGAAACGTTATATATATATTTCATAAACGAATAGTTCATTAAACAAAATTAATATAAATCATCTTTTGGCTTATATAAGTACTGTACTGACATCGAACAGAATATTAAAGTCAAGTAAATTATTTATTGCGGTATTCACTTGCGAAGCGCTTCGAACATGACATGCCTTATTAAGATACTGATTTATTGGCGCAATATCTTGGATGGAACCACCTGCTTTATCCATCAGGTTATGTACCATTAGTTTAGGTTTTCGTGGATTATTGCTCTAAATACCGTGATAATCAAATTTGACTGAATTAGAATGGGTTTTTGTGATAGAAACCCGTAAAATTTTATTTATATTTATATTATTTATTTATATAGACTGCCTCGTCAGCCGAGTGATCGCAAGTTCGACTGCTGGGCAAGGGGTCTCGGGGTCGATTCCCGGGCTAGGCAAATTATTACTGGGTTTTTTTCGTTTGGAATTCCTTGTCAGACAGTTACATGAATAAGCTGGAATAATAATAATTTGTTTTATTTTTGCTTATAATATAAGCCTTTATCATAAATACCACTGTTAATCAATCATTGTTATGTAGTTTATCTCTAATCGGTAGTTAGGTAATGATAACCATGTAAATTCATTGCCGAGTAAGATGTCTCAAGTTCCGTTCCCGAGCCGCAAAATCAACCATTTTTTGAAATATCCTCGGTTCGTTCGGGAGTTTTAAATAATTATGCCAGGTATGTGGCAAAAAAATCACCCCTTATATGGATCTTTCAATCTGCAAGACAGACTTGCTCCTATCTAGAAATTATATTATGAAACATTGTTAATGAACAATATATATACAGCCTTTTAACCTTCGTTAGAGTTGATGAGCATACTAAAGCATGACCTTGAATACAGGCTGTTCTATACTCCATAATTATTTGTTTCATTCAATATTCCCAGGAGGCGTTCATGTGTGTAATCGATTTTCCAACTGATTGGCGCCATTTATACAAAATTTCATTCATTGTTTCTGTAGTGATTGTGTTTTGACTAGTTATATGTATTTGTTAGTTGTAATTTGTCTTTGTTGTATTTTTTTATGGCATAGGCCCGTTACCGAGCAGACGGATCACCTGATGGTAAGCAATCGGCATCGCCCATGGACACCAGAGGCATTACAAGTGCTTTAGGATCATTGGGTCCTCAAACTCCTAATCCCCAAAAGGCCGGATCACCTGATGGTAAGCAATCGGCGTCGCCCATGGACACCTGGAACACTAGAGGCGTTACATGTGCGTTACCGGCCTTTTGGGGATTAGGAGTTTGAGGATCGTTGGGGATTCGTTGGGGAGGGGAGGGTAATTGGGCCTCAGGTAACCTCACTCACACCACGAAACACAACGCAAGCGTTGCTTCATGTCGGTTTTCTGTGAGGCCGTGGTATCACTCCGGTAGAGCCGGCCCATTCGTACCGAAGCATGGCTCTCTCACACTTAAAAAATACTACAAATCAGTATATCCAAATCCTTCAATTTCAACTGAAGGTGTGTAGACTGTACGAATTTACGATGTAATTGTGCAGTTCTAACTGTACATCGCATGTTATATCGCAACGAAAGGACTGGTTTCTGTTATATGATCGAAATGAATAGCTCCAATAAAATATTTATTTTCTAATATTTTCCTACTAAATAGGGCTTATTATCTATTGTTATTTTTATGTGATAGGTATTTTATTTTGCAATAAAATTGTTTATTGTTTCAATATTATTTCAAGTTCAAGTTTATATTGCATTTTGACACGTTTATTGTTTTAGTTATTATAAAGTTGTGGGTTTACGTAGACGTTGTTTTTTGAATAGTAAAAAAGAAATGTTGTTTATTGTGTAGTTTTTAATTTTGGTCCTATTTTTCAAGTTAAGGGTTTAATTACTATTAGTTATGTCATTTTATTTTGCTGTATATTAAACAAGGCTATTTTCTCTGATTCTCTACTTAACCCAAAGGTTAACTGGGAGAAAATGCCATATAACATTCAGTTCGCCTTATGGACCTTATTTCTGTGTGCATTAAAGAATAAATGAATAAATAAAGTGATTGAAATTCGTATGTCTAGCAAGTCGTTTAAAGGTAAGGTGCTTTTTGGTATAGGTAATGTTTGGATTCAATTCGCAGGGGAAAAATATTAGTGAAATTTTTAGTTTTCCTTTATTATAATAAGAATAATAATAACCTTACCTCCAATGGGATTGCACATAAATGATAATTAAACAGAGGTGAAGTTAGTGTGAAAATATGAATGTGTCTGTCTAGACAAAATAATCAGATAAAACAAGAGTGACTAAATTAAAAATGTATGTACTAAGTCTATGTACAACATGTTACTTAAATAACGCACATCTTGAAAATAGTTTGTTCAGAATCGTTAACTGAATCGATTTATACATATATAATTTTTAGTATGGGTAATTTTTTATCCCAAAAATAATTAAAACTACGGAAATTATTGTCATATTAACCCTGTATTGTTAAAACAAATCGAAATGGACTGCAAATCAAAGCAATAAGACTTTTAAAATCGCAGTATTATTTGTAGGTATCCATACAAATTCTATCATTCAATACAAAATAAAGAAAAATAAACCTTATGACAAGATCAGTAAGGATGCATATACATGTTAAATTAAAAATTTAGTGTATGTATTATAATTATAACATAATATATTATTCTCCAATTAGTGTTTGAGGGTGTGCGTTAATTACGTTACATGTTGTATATAAAAATGAAACCCGTTTCCCGTTGTCATTCCACAACTTAAGAATGTCTTGACCGATTTGGCTGATTTTTTTTGAACGGGAGAAAACGGGATTGCGCGTACGAAGTCGCGGGCAGAAGCTAGTTCTTAATAAAATAAACTAAACAAAGAAAATACTGATCACATGACGAGTGATGTCAAACTCTTTGAAATTGCAGTCAACTAAAATGTCACTATTATCTAATGATAAAAATAGTACTTTCATATTACATTTAATCCCAAACCATTTATTTGTATTTGATAAGACAAAACAAATACATCACGATACCAAATATCTACTCAGTAAATAACAGTATTTGTCAGATAAAAGTTTGATACTGATCTCGTTAAGGCAGTTTTACACAGAGTTGCAAACAAAAACAATATGGCCAACGATGACAGGGCGTCCACTGCGCATGTACCAATCCAAGTACCATGTATTGTTAACCCATTATAGAAAATTACATAAAAGACACTTACAATACCTCAACAAACCATAATGCTGACAATTTAATAATCTATTTATAGGAACTTAATATAACTAAGTGAATGGAAGTGCAATCGATGGGTGCGCGCGCATCCGTAAACATGGCTTCTTGCGTCAAAACCGGCGCCTCGACAATCTGTATCCATCAGTGTACATTGCTGCTTGTGTACCTAAAATTGATAATATGTACTGGACATGAGTGGTAATGGACGTTGAAATATACAATGTAAACGATAATAACGAAATTTATGAATCGTGTAGTCAGAGCCAGACAATATACTGTGGGTTAGTGTACCACCCGACTTAAGGGACCGCGGATCAAAAGAACAGACTCGCGCTGAATTTCATACGTAAAAACAATTCACAAGGATGTCTGAACCGTCCTAAATAACCAAACAAAAAACTATCTTTAAAGCAAATAAAATTCGAAACGTATTTAATTCATGTAGAAACAACCGAAATCATGCAATAAAAGAAGAGAAAACTGTCGCTCGCAACGTTGAAATAATAAAATATTAATTATAATAAAAACAGTGGAAAAACGTGGTCAATATAACTAGATTAACCAGGTCCTAAGGATCTGGACTGCAAAGTCCAATTTCACCTGTAATGGAGAAAGGTGAACGGTTTTCAGAATATCTGTTCGCGAAGATGGGCCCCGGAGATAGGGGGCCGAAGACCACAGAAGACCGGTCGGCTCCTGTCGAACGGACTGGCTTTAGGAAGATCCTGGTCGACAATGTGATGCTGGTTGTTACCCTAGCTGGAGTCATCACTGGTATTGGTCTTGGTAAGTGTATTATTCTAACTTTCTTGTAGAAAAAATAAAAATATAGCATTACAAAGGTAAAATTATTATTGAATTGTACTATTAAGTGGTCAATGATCCTCGTTGCAGTGTTAAAATTAGAATGCTAATTTAATTGACTTTTTCCACTCAGATAATTGTATTAAACACTTCGAGCTTTGTTCAGTTCTGTTTCTTAGACTTTATTTTACTAAAAGGAACGTGTTGTTTTAATTTTTTTATGCTAAGGCAATTATTCCATTGTCTCCTGTATGAAGCAATGTGCGACAACTTCTTTATAATAATAAAAAATTGTCTGTAGTCAATGTTTAAAAATATTAATGAATCCATGTTTTATTATATGACTGACTGACAGTCTTAACATGAAATAATCACAGAAATTAAACAAACATCTAATTACCATCAAACCCACAACAATGGACTTCTTTAGGCTTTAGCACAGACTAAGAATTATTTGTCTATTATGTATGTAGCTTTGAATAATACTATACATGTATTACTTACCTACTTATACTTTTTTGACAACAGTAACTTTCCCTACAATCACATTTTTTGATACCTCTATAAAACACAATATGTCCTCTGTGATGCAATGTGCAGTGGACTTCAGCTATGTCAAATTATTCTTTTTCCAGGTCTGGGACTTCGACCGTACCATCTGGGCCCTGACGCCTTAATGATAATATCCTACCCTGGCGAACTGTTCATGAGACTTCTAAAACTGATGATCTTACCTCTGATCATAGCAAGTCTTATTGCTGGATCAGCAAGTCTAAATGCAAAGATGAGTGGCAAAATTGCCGTCAGGACTTTGTTGTATTTTATTTTGACGTCCATGTTTAACGCTTTTCTTGGACTAGTCTTGGCTATGTTGATTCATCCTGGAGTGCCTGAAATTAAGCAATTTGGATCTTTTGTTGAAGGGAAGAGGGAGCATAGTATTTTGGACAGCATTTTGGATATTGGCCGGTAAGTTTCTTGATACAATTATTTTTGTATCAAATACTAATGTTCGGAACTTGTGAGAAATTTTTCGCATTATAAATTGTTCGAATCCTCAATCGATTAAAATGCAGTATGATATTAGAATTCAAAGCATTTCATTGAACAAAATCTTATATTTCCATCATAAATCAGTTTTATATCAATATATACATAATTTATCTATTTCCCGTTATGTATAATAATCAATAGGGATTTGGTCCCCTTTTAACCGATATTAACGACTACTATAAATGGTTTTACATTCATCGCAAAACCTTATTTCATAAAGTAATCTCTTATGACCCCATTTATGTAACGAGTTTTCAAACTTCAGCAGCTTGCTATGGAAAAATTAATTAATTTCAATGATTGACAGGAACATATTTCCGGACAATATCGTACAAGCCGCTTTCCAGCAAGCGCACACGGTGTACACAGAAGCACCCGCCATGTTTGGACGGAATGTTAGCGATAATGACACAGTGCCTTTGGTTCGAACCGTCGCTTATAGGTAAGCATCATCATAGATATTATATATTGTTAATTCTTTATAGAATTTCATGTTTTTGGAACTCTTTTCGATGAGAAAATCCGTACTACCACGCAGTGGTAGAATAAATTTGTCATCTCTCCTAGCCTTATCACGGGTATATTGTAGTCGTTTATCTACACAGTTACACAGACACTTAGGTACTAGATACCAGAATGCTGCGCTCTCTGTCTTAACTGAGAATCTTTTGTCCATCTATCAGCTAAGCGCTAAAGTTATGGCCTCTTAGGGTGAGTCCACGTCTGGCAAATGCACCGCGAATGTACCGCTCGCAAGTCGCAAGCTTACAATTCAAATAATAATTTATACGAACCTTGTCTGAGTTGAGCACCAAACCACTGCCGTGATCACACGCGCGCAGCATGCGGGCAGCCCGCAAACGGCTCGCGAACGGCACATTCGTCAGATGTGATCTACACCCTTATATAGCGAAACCCTGTAGTCCATAATAATTGGAGCCCAAAATGATACCCTACAGTACAGTTTCACAGGAATTTCCTTCCACGGACCCTCCTAATGTGGAATGAACTCCTTGCTGTAGTTTTCCCAGTGGGCTACAATATGAGATTCTTCAAGAGGGAAGGAAATAGGTTTCTTAAGGGTCGGCAAGATGCATGTAATGCCCCAAGTGTTACAGGCGTGCATGGTAACCGCTTACCATCAGGTGGGCCGTGTCCTTTTTTGCCACCGTCGTGGTCAAATCTCTGGATTATGCCAAACCTTCTCACGTAGCTATATGGTCCATGTATGGTCCTATAACGACTATAACAAGCTGTTGATAATGCTAAAGACATAAATATTTATTTACAGATCAGGCACCAATACGCTAGGTTTAGTATTCTTCTGCCTAGTTTTTGGCAGTCTTCTGGGAACATTAGGCGCTAAAGGCCAAGTAGTGATAGATTTCTTTCAAGCAATCTTTGAGGTGATCATGAAGATGGTGACGGGCGTCATGTGGTTCACGCCAGTTGGAGTTAGCAGCGTTATAGCTGGGAAGATTCTTGGTGTTAATGATGTTGGTGAGTTTGTTGTCTTTGGAACTTTTTTATCTAAAAGAGGAATTAAGCATCAATTTTACAGAGAAGCAGTACACAGTTAAACGAGATTAAACAATGAATTGAAATTCTAAAAATCACAAAAGACAATTATTAAAATTACTTTAAAATGTATGAAAATTGTAGACAAGTCAAAATCTTTGCTGGTAAAAAATTCAAAATGAAATCTTCTAAATACAAATTCTACAAGTAATCTGAACTTTTAGGAACTCGTTCTCAAAAAGCTTTTACTTTGGTTTCCAGCGTCAGTGATGTCCCAACTAGCCTGGTTCATAGCGACGGTGGCTGTTGGGGTATTCTTCTACCAACTGGTAGTGATGCAACTGATCTATTTCTTGTTCTTACGACGGAACCCCTACAAGTTCTATTGGGGGCTGTCACATGCCATGCTCACGGCTTCGGCTACTGCTTCTACGTAAGTTTCTATATTAAATCATTGTATTACTAATGTTATGATTGCTTTTATAATATCCAAAATACAAAGATTAGCAAAAGCTAACACATTTTGAGTTAACTCAATTCACCTAGGTGAAATAATTCCCAGGTGAATTGAGGACTCCAAAAATCTACTTTGTTCACTTAGGTGAAATCACCCAAGTAAACAAAGTGAAATAAACCATTATAACGTCAAAAGTAAATTCATTTGTGCGTGTATGTATTGTAGTTACTGTATTGTAGTTATTGTATTGTACTAGAACTAATTGCTTGTTCCAAAAAAATAAATCTATAAGCAAAGGCTTGAGTTGGATTACCAAATCAGGCTTGGTATAAAAAAAAAATAAGAGTTACTGGATAGGAAAAAGGCACAGATCCTTATGTACAACAATATTCTCACATCCGTGATAAATAGCAACAACTAAATGAAAATAATAAACGAACTGCAAGCAACTAAGTAGATATATCAACAAACGTCTTCAAGTTAAAAGAGCATGAGGTTTTCTTAAAAAAACAATCAATAATATTACTTGACGATGACAAAGCAATACAATCAAAGTTCCACACATACCATTAATTGAACCCAACACAAGTTTATTCATTACCCAGATGAACTCGATTGTATTTGATTGAACATAATAGAAACTCAATCAAAACCATGCGCCCATCGTTTGCTGTTAAGGACCTGTTACTTAATAATCAATTGATTGGCGCGGTTTTAATTTAGCGTGATATTTAAGAAATAATACCTCATTGGTCGATGGGCACAATGTCCGCTACTGAATAAATGGTTTTGAAGTAAAAAAAATACCGTGCTACTACTGACCAGACCGGAAATTGAACAGTAGTAGCATGGAGTCTGGAATTTTGTCCGGTATATGGCAATAGGCTTACCCCCTATTACATGGGACTCGTAACATATATAGTGAAAAATTGGCGTTATATTGTACAGTGGCATTAAGTACCATAACATGCACCTCTACCTAACCCTTCGGGGACAAAAGCGTGAAAATATCTATAATCAATAAGGGTGTTTTCATATTTTCGAAAAAAAAATAATACAGAGTCTGGTATTGTGCCTTGTACATGAAAATAGGCTCGACCTTTTTTACAAGGTTTGTACAACTAGGGTTTGCGGCAATATTGAAGTTGCAACGTTCAAGGAGAGTCACAATGGCGCCTATCACGTAACTGTAGTTCTATTAACATAATAACATGGATATATATTATTTTATATTTACTTAAAAAAGCAAAAACAACGGAAGTAATACCATACTCATTCAAAATATGTACCACCAGATTTCTAGAAAATACAGAATAGAAAACGTACCTAATAGGGGAGTTTCCTAAATTTTATTTTAATTTCCGTCTGGTAGATTATTTTAAACCATTACACACCCTTTTTTTTCTTACAAAATTAACTGCTTTCGACGATATATTGATTTGAAATGTCGTGTGACGTCACAGAGTGCTACAAAATGTAGCACGTTGTCAAGTAACTACTTCCCACTCTTAAACTTAACTCCATTTTATATAAGTATTGAAACTTTATACGAGAAAATAAAAAAATACGTGTCTAATATTTTTCCATTATCTAACTGACGGACTAATTAGATTTTTAAATTTTTTTACCCTGGAAACTACCCAAATCAATTTTAATCCCACCCACCTATTTAATGCCACCTCAACAACCCCTTGCACTAATGAAACTTTAAACACTATTCGTCGAAACCAATCTAAAGCGCACTTTACTTCTCAATAATTCATTCAATAATTCACTGCATTGCGTGGCTAATTCCCGTGTTGACGTCGAAGAGTTTTACATGATTTGCAACCTATAAAGTATAAAGTGAAAGTTCAGTTTGACCTTGAAGAAGGTCACGGAAGCCATTTCTTTGATAGATTTCTTCAATCACTTAGTAGTCTTAGCATGCAATGTGGTTGGTACAGCTCAGGGTTATTTTTAGCAGTCTTAAACTATGTATATACCGTAAGTTACGGTTATGGTATAAAATGCCATAATATTAAGGTAAATTCCGTAAGTAAGCAGAAATACTCCTACAGTAAACCCATTCTGTGATCGAAATATTTATGAGAAGAAAGTATGTAATTACCGTTTTAAATATAACATCAGCTTGACTATGAAATTAACTAAAAATATGACGCGATGTACTGAGAAAATCTTTGTACCTCTATAGGTAAACCCATAATTTTAAGTTTAATCAATGTCTTACGATCATCATCGTCAACAGCCTATAAATACCCACTGCTGAGCAAAGCCTCTTCTCACACGGAGAGGGTTTGAGCATTAATCACCACGCTTTCTCAATGCGGATTGGCGATAATAGACTTATAATTAGAAATTATAAGCCCAAGTGTCCTCACGATGTTTTCCTTCACCGTTCGTTAGTGATGTCTAGATATTCTTAGAAAGTACACATAACTTGGAAAAATTCACATTGGTAGTTGCCGTTGGTAGGTTTTAAACCCGCACCCTCATGTATGAGAAGCGGGCCTCTTAAACCTGCTGGCCACCACGTCGACGACTTTCAATAGTTATTATAAAAAACAAATTCTATGTGACTTCATTAAATTATTAAGAACAACGCCACGTTGTTTTTATTCAAAAGAAGACTCTAAATTCGAATCAAAACATTCTAATTTCCAGTGCAGCAGCTCTCCCAGTGACCTTCAGAGCTATGGAAGGTCCCTTGCAGGTGGACCCTCGGATCACTCGCTTCGTGCTACCCATTGGCTGCAATATCAATATGGACGGCACGGCGCTCTTCCTTTCAGTCGCCAGTGTCTTCGTCTGTCAGATGAATAACATACATCTTGGGTTCGCTCAGCTGGCTACTATATTGTGAGTATGAATTATTTTTGTTATCGTTCTTAGAAGTACCAGCCGGCTAAGTTTTAAAGTTAAGGTTCGTGAACTATTGCGAAGGGAACAGACAGACGCATCACGTACTTAATTTATCATTTTGGCAATTGTATTTAATACTGGCTTTCACCCGCGGCTTCGCTCGCGTCACAAAAGGATAAAAAGTAGCCTATGTGACATATACCAATACACACAGCGCCATCTATACCAATGCTTTTGTTTTCCCTTGGGAATATCACATTTTTCCGGGATAAAAAGTACCCTATTATTTAATACGGACTTCTAACTTTACGTCTGCAAAAATTCAAAGCAATCGGTTTAGTAGTTACGGCGTGAAAGCGGAACAAACAAACAAACTCACTTTCCGATTTATAATATTATATATTAGTAAGGATTTATGTATATGTAGTTTTATCCCTAATTTGTTTATTTACTTTTATAGTATTGTTATTTAGTAATATTGATCATGTATCTTATGTAATTTATATAACACCTATCCTATATATACGGATATATGTATATATTTACAGTTATGCATAATTATGAATTTATTTATATAGATTTTTCTGTGTCACATAAATTAAACCATAATACCTATTACACCTACTGTTGCACATCTCTGCATCACCCCATGGTTGACTGTTAGAGAATGCCACCCGGCATTAAGTCCGCCATCGTAATATAAAGAAGTGTTAATAAATAAATAAGTACAGATTTCGAAGACGAAAAGAAAAAGGCTAGATCTTAAAAGACAGTACAATTAATACACTATTTGTAGACTATTTTATTATTTTTTCTATTTCTTTATGCCAAGGATGTTGATAAAATGGCTGACGTAATACCACTTAGAAATGATTGAAGCGCCAATACAGTGGTGTATTCATGTGTGCGTGTACTAGCAACACCGTAATGTATAAAGTGTAATGACGACCATGTCACGCGACAGGATGTCCTTCGTGTCAATGTGTGTGTATTCTGCGTGTAAGTGTATAGTAGCTAGGTGGCACAGTCGTTGTTTCAAGAGACTATGTCCGCCTTTCTTTTAACGTACTTGCTCTTTGCTTATAATTTGTTCGAACTTTCTACGTAAATGACAATTAATATTTTTTTTATATGGAGATGAATTTAACAGTAAAATTCTAAAAAAGTAGCATAATTTTACTTCTTGTGTACGTAACTAATTAACAAGGTATCTGGACTGGTATCAAACCAAGCTAAGGGCTCATAGTCATGAGCAGTATTTATTTTCGTGGCAATTAAAAAGTGAAAGCC